CCAGACAGTTCTCACCTACTTTGCTAAATTACAATTTTAGCCTCTACCCACCTTCTAAAAATATAAATCTGAACAGGAGCAGACACATATATTCTAAGTAATCCATGATTTCACAAGATGTTCCATTTTCTCCCTATTTTGTTTTAATAATACCATATATCAGATTCATAGTGTTGGACTATCAAGGGTCAACTGTATATACTTCTGGACTCAAGAATGTATTTTATTTTCGCATAGCTACCGGACACATTAATGTCTCTAGGATAGATCAAGGGAGACTAAAAGAATGTATTTGGCCTCAGCGTGTTTTTAACTGTGTTGAACCCTTGTATTCAGGAAACTTCAGTAGCTAGTCAGATTTAATATTGCGTTTGAACAAAATAAAGTACAATTATTGTTTCATCGCTTGTATTCCATGGTATCATTTGTTTACAAACCGGCGTGGCATTTTGATTCGAGTTAGCTCACTTACTGCGATATGTTTATATTTTCCCAATAAAGTCAAAACATACAAAGCTATTGTAATGAGGATATTAATTTGAAATAATGGTTTAAAAATGATATTTTATTTAAAAACAAATATATGCTTTCTGTAGAAACATTTTTATTTTATATTTACAGGTAATTTTCTTTTCAAGGGACTCTATCCATCATTAGACGATAAAGCTATCGGTGCCATTCTGCTGGTTATTTCCCTTTTAATACTCTGCGCTTGCCTAGTATGCATCGTGAAACTTCTCCACTCGCTGTTACAGGGTCCCATGGCTATGCTGGTCAAGAAGTTCATCAACGCAGACTTTCCAGGGCCCTTGGCTTACTTTACTGGCTACCTCGCCATCATTATCGGAGCCGGGCTGACCATCGTGGTCCAGAGTTCGTCCATATTCACCTCAACACTCACCCCTCTTGTGGGCATTGGGGTCATCGAGCTGGACCGGATGTACCCACTGACTCTGGGTTCAAACATTGGCACCACCACTACGGCCATCCTTTCCGCCCTGGCCAACACTTCCGGGCTGAGGAACGCTCTCCAGATCGCTTTTTGTCACCTATTCTTCAACATCACCGGCATCGTCCTTTTCTATCCCATCCCTTACCTCAGGTTCCCAATCCCTTTAGCCAAGTTCCTTGGGAACTGTACCGCCAAGTACCGGTGGTTCGCAATCGTCTACATCCTAGCCATGTTCTTTCTCTTTCCGGCACTGATCTTTGCCCTCTCTATTCCTGGCTGGTACGTCCTTGTCGGAGTCATGGGGCCCTTCGTGATCATCCTCATAGCGGTCTGCGTCGTCAAAGTCATCCAAGCCGAGAGGCCCACCTGTCTGCCGCCTAAGTTTAGAAACTGGAAATTTCTTCCTCTGGCCTTGCGGTCGCTGGAACCATACGACAAGGCAATGCAGAAACTTTTCTTTTGTAAGAGGTTTCAGGCAGAGGTCAAAGAAGAAAAGGTGGTGCAGAACAACAATTGCAACAGCGCGGCACCAGCCAGCGAGTCGCTTGCCGTTTCTACATATCTCTGAAGAGGTACCCAACAAGCCAATAAAGAATTGCATCAAGTTTACTACATCTATGTGTTGTTAGGTAGGACAAGTAGCCAGGTGTGAGGCTAGGTCGTGTCCAGATCATCCCTATTGTGCGGAAATATTATTCCACGGTGACCCCGTTGAACAGAGAAGGGTGAATGGGACTAACAGAAGAATACTAGCTTCATTTTTAAGACCAATTCAGCATCGCCTCTCTTCACTTCAAACACTCGCCCCCTAAGAGGTACGCCGAAGTAAAGAGAGACCTCAATACCTCAACACTGTAGGTGTTGTTGCTCTTACGTAGTAGCCCAATGTCTTGTTATACATAAATTCCTAAGACATCAACATCTTTTATTGACGTCACATCCATACCTTTGCTCCTCGGAGCTCAGGAGAGAGCTGATGGCAACTGGGAGCCCTTGTATGTGCTAATAACACAAATAAACCCAACGCCATCTGTCAAAGAAATTTGTCAAATTTATATTGAGGTGAAGCCATAGAAATGTACCAAATGGTCCCATCATACAATTGTCTTCATTAATCTTCATTATTTATATATCAATCCAACAACCTATATTCATATTATTATGTTAGAGAAGAACGAGTAGTCATTCTTTGGCGCTGCCAGGGTCGAGGTTAGTTAAAGGGAAACAAAATTCATCGTAGTCCCTTTATCAGTTTCCACTGAGGAATTTTCTGGTGATGTGGCAGGTCTGCAGAAGTACCGCCCTCTGACAGGCAACAAGAATGTTTCTAGAATGTTAAGGGCCTTGAAGGTGTCTGTGAGGTCAGTTGTTATTATCCCCTCGGTTGATATAACAATGGGGTATATTGTTATTTTAGATAACTTCCATCAACGTTTAAGTTCCAAGCCTAGGTTCCCATAGTTTTTTCCCATTTCCATTTTTTGTTATATCATGTGACAGTGTACGGCGATGTCAATAATGGTAGCGGTTTTGTCTTTTTAATCAATAAACAACAGATTAGGGCGATTAAAATCTACCATTTTGTCAGTCAAAATTACTATCCCAGTATAATAGGTGATCAGTAGACTCGAAAACACTTGTGGCAAGTATTTGTAATAAGGAGTATCCTTATTGACCATTATTATTACTGTTATTAAATGTTATTATTATTATTATAGACATGAACTACTATTCACTCTGGTACTACCAGGGCTGAGCTTCGTTAGAGAGAATATACTATGTTATGCTGGAAATGAAATGTCCGAGAATGGAAGAGAGACCATTAATTCTTAAAAAATAACATTTGCTAATAAAGCAGATGAGATTGAGTGTGATATTAAAACTTTTACTTCCTAGAATATTTACTTATTTTTGAGGGTTTATGTTTTTTCATTTCCGACAAAAAATGTTAGTACCTATTTCACTATTTTATAAAAAAATATACTCACACATAGTTTATTTTAATTCATCCAATGCATTAGCTTTATTTCTAAAATTTCAGCAAACTTTCTTTTCGAAATACTTAGTTTTAAAAAAGTTAAAACTTTTTTGCAAGTACTTTATTTTAGCCTTGCGGCAGTCATTTTGATGCCTAATTTGCATTTTAATTTTTTTTTTATTTTTGATGTCATTAAACCTATAAATAAACAGACACAATCATTAAACATATAAATAAACAGACACACAATCATTAAACCTATAAGAAACAGACACACAATCATTAAACCTATAAGAAACAGACACACAATCACTAAACCTATAAGAAACAGACACACAATCATTAAACCTATAAGAAACAGACACACAATCATTAAACCTATAAAAAAACAGACACACAATAATTAAACCTATAAAAAAAACAGACACACAATCATTAAACCTATAAAAAAACAGACACACAATCATTAAACCTATAAAAAACAGACACACAATCATTAAACCTATAAAAAAACAGACACACAATCATTAAACCTATTAAAAAAACAGACACACAATCATTAAACTGATTTAAAAAAAACAGACACACAATCATTAAATCTTTAAAAAACACACAATCAAAAGCAGGTCCAGAAAAAACTTTTCTAGATTTTGCTTATCTTACTTCAGATTCCCCTTACAGTAGTGTCCCCTGAGGAATGTTCTAGTCATCTGGCAGGCCGAATCTATTTTTATTATTATAGAGGAGCCTCACTATGTACTTTTAATGTATTTAGAGCGTTATGGAGTTAAACTCTTGTAAGGAGATTTGAGGTTTGGTGAATTTGATTTCTGTGAGAAGGTTTCTGTGCAGCATAGAGACCAAACAAACAGTTCGTAATTCCTAGTCTCCATTAGGACTCAAACTCGGACCTCCTTAGGTATCAAAGTTCACTATTGTACTACTTAAAGGCCTCATTAGATTGCCCTAATATAACTTTTGACTTCTTCAATTTCATTCCATTATTGATTTTTTAAACATTGAATAATGTATGTTGAATTAGCAATTAAAACACAATTATTAAAACACAATTGTTATTCCCAAGACACAATTCAGTTAAGAAAGAAAAGCATAATACAGGATACAACATTCTAAAATATTTAGATGGCATAATGACTTAAAACCTTATGCATCTGGCATTAGCTGTGGCTTTCTTCCTGACGTCTGCACGGAACATAAAAAAAAAATTTCAATTAGTCTTTGTTTTACATAAAACACCAAAGGACATGACCTACTAAAGTGAACTCTTTTTTGTTTATCTCTCTTCTCCTTTGGGATCATGTGGTCATTATGACTGTTGAGGTCAGTGTGATCTTTGGCTCATATAGGCAGTATGATTAATGTGACTCATTGGATCAGTGTTATTATTGTGGTCACTGTGGCTCATTTGGTCTGTGCGATACATGTGGTTATTGTGGCTCGTTTGTTCACTGTGATTACTGTGATCACTTTTGTTCATGTGGTCAGTTTGATACACGTGTTACTGTTAATCATATTTCCCTGTGTAATGTCGATGTGTTTAATGAGATTCATGTTGTTGAGGCCATTAATGTGACTCAGCAGTCTGTGTTATCGATATGGTTGTGTGGCTAAAATGGTTTGTGTGATCAATGTGATCACCAATGCCCCTGTCGCTAAATTGGTCTAAGTAATCAAAAAGTGTTCTGTATGATTAAGTTTGCAAATAGTGTTCACATGATTATCCACGTGATCGCTAAGGATGATCATCTGGAGTGGTCTCTCATGTCACTGTAGTCATTGCAGTTCATTGTCATACTTATATTTACTATTAATGTAATATTATTTTGTCATTTCTTTTCTTCAACAATTAATTCGATTTGATTGAAAACGACAAACTGTGCCTGTGTTAACTTTATCCAGTTTTGTTTTCTCCAGCATGTGTTAATGTTTACTTTCTTACTACATCTAATAGTCTTTGGTTACAACGTCCTGAAGTTTAAACAGCGATTTGTCTTCCTGGGTCTGTCATGGAGAGGCGCGAGTAGATTAATGTGTTTCTATAATTAAAAAAATAGATTATAAGTTACAATTATTTTGTGAATTTTTCGTATGGTAATTTTGTTGATTTTGAGTTTGCAACTTGATCCGAGAATGTGTGTGGGAGAAATAACATGTCCAAACATTTGACCAGAGAGACTAATGGACAAAGTGAGATGGTAGGAGCTTTTAAAAAGCTATATAGTTCATTGGCTGAAATAAACTATAAATAGCAAACTTTGGATGTATCCGGTGTATGAAATAAAGACAATGTTGGTAAGGTACTTTTTTTTTTAAAGGTATATGCAATTTTTGTTCACTTGTTAACAAAGCAGAGGAGTTTCTATTTGTATTACTTTCCCCCTCTATAACACATGACATATTTAAGAAAGCAAATGGGCAACTAATTCGTGGTATGAAAGGAGGTGGGATAAAAAGACCAACCGCCTCGCTATTTAATTGTCTTAAAACAACAGCTCAATTCTTTATTATTACAAACGTTATGAAACTAATTAGTGATAATTATTTATTTATTTCTGTTAAGGTATTATTATTATATTATTATAGCTTTTATATAGCGCTACTTTCATGCTTATAGCATGCTCAGAGCGCTTTTGGTCCAATATCTTTTGTGAACCAGTAGGGAGAGGGGTATCTAGGAGTTGGTTTTCCGAGCTGCCTTTAGGCACTCAGTAAACGCAACTCTGCCCGAGTCGGATGTCGAATTTCGAGCCCCCTTCTAGGTAGCCAAGCCAAGCCATGTTCAAGCGCACTTGGCCTCTCGACCAAACTCGCAATAGTGAGAGATATGGCAATGATTTTGTAGCATTTCTTATTTAATAAGTTTTTTTTTAAACATTTGGTATATTTTGCATGCTGGTAGTGACGTTTTATTTTGGGAGTGCTCTGTCCATGTTTGACTTTGTTTTCTTTATTTCTTCAATTTAACTTTTCTAACATGGTTTCAAAGGGCTCTAACTCTGCACTGACACTTTTGCAAATCGACAATATTTATCTTCATAGAGAACACACTTTACGAGATTAACACATAGGCTAGTGACATTAGAATTTCTTTTTTTATCCTTAATGTAAGAGCGTCATAGTACTCCAAATAGAAATGTTTTCTAAATGATCAAAATCAAGATGTAACCAACTTGCTATAATTAAATCTTTCAAAAATGTTGAAACATGTTCTGGCTGTTCTTCTCACGGCACTTACAAAAAAATGAAAATAAAACTTATTTATCTTATCTTATATAATATAGACGTTACTTCGAAAAATAAGATGATTACGTACTACGCGTCATGCATTCAGTCATGCATGTTAACCAATGACTAGCTCAGGCAACCCATTCCATGCTCTAATAGCACTAGGGAAGAAGGAGTATTTGTACAAATTTGTCCTAGCATATGGGACGAGGCGTGTGCCTTTATCTTTGTGTCTTTCAGAGTATTTTATTAAATTTTATTTTGTATTTGAAGATTTTATTTCTTTTCACAAATACTCATTGAGCATCGTGCGTGACACCAAACTATAGAACCAATTGTAGGATTACTTTTACAGTTGTGCTTTTTTCACTATATATAACCAGAAAATGAATGCTTTAAAATATTTATATTTTCTAATCAATGCAATAAACAATGTTTTAGTATTTCTGTTTTCTTTGAACAGTTTCTTGTGTACAATTGATAATTGACTCAAAGAAATATATAATAGAAAAACAAATAGTTCAGAAACACTTTTTTATTTCAGCTTACTTCTGTGTATTTCAAATTATTGTCATGTCAAATAAATTTATTGTTTAAGTATATTTTGAAGGATTGTATTTTTCTGACTTTTGTGATGGGTGATAGAAAAGAATAAGATAAGGTTAAGTAGTTAAAAGATTTTCGCAATTAAAAAAAATAAAAATATTCTTTGGGGACATCATGTTTTATCGTTGTTCTCTTTAGTTAAGGTTGCAAGACAGTTAACACTTAATGGTGTGTGTGTGTGTTTTGGCGTGTGTGCTCGTTTGTTTTGCCTGTGCATATTTTAAAGAACAATTACATGAGCGGATTTCCAAAAGAAATGTTTAGATACCATGGCAGAATCTATGTGTGTGTGTTTGTGTATGTGTGCAGGAGAAAGAGAGATAACTCTGATAACAATCTATTCAAAATAAAACTGTATGATAAATACCAGCTTCAATAAATAAACTAAAAATAGAAACGCATTTACTAAAAAAATGTTAATAAAAAAATCTGATGTTCTATATGTCGTCTACACACACACACACAGACACACACACACATACATACATACACACATACATACATACAGACAAAGCTACATATATATATATATATGGAGAGAGAGAGAGAGAGAGAGAAAGAAAGAGAGATAGATAGATAGATAGATATTGGCGGGGGGGGGGGGGGAGAGAAAAAAATCTTCCCTTCCGCGGAAAAAAATCCTGGCTACACCCATGCACTTGTTAGTATATTATCTGAATTAATTAATCATTTTAACTAGACATATACGATAACATGTTTAATGCAGCGCTAAGATTCATTGTACAATTTTAGCAAAAAATTAATAACTCTTTTGAATTTGTAAATAGCTCTAAAAACTAATAAATAGTGCTGCTTTTAAGACAAATCTCGTGTACGCTGTGTGTGTGCGATGTGTGTGTGCGTGTGAAAGGGAGTGCTATTGCACGTTTCTTATTCCATATGCTGGGACAAATGTTTATAAGTTCTCTTTTACCATTGAGGCCTAAATCAGATAGGAAAACCAATGGTTTAGTAGAGTTTCAGTCTCTGATTAACAGTCCCTAGATTTACACATGAATACATGTAGGACATAATTATCTTATTCTTTAAAAATCCCTTCTATTATATCTTGTGCTCAGCCTCTAGATGATGAATGATTGTCACATGACCAAATAATGATTTCCACGTGACCAAACAAACAATGGTTACATGACCAAACAAAGTGACGTAATGAAAAACAGAAGACGAATACTTTGAAAAAAAAAAAGGTTTTTGTTATAATTTATATTTTGTGGAAAACATGCCGATCAAAAACGACGCATGTTTACGCGCCTGCGTCATCCTAGCCTCTTGAGCCAGCTGCTTCGGATGTACTGGGTGGAGCACTTGGACGGCCCTTCGTCGATGATGTCTGCGTCTGTCAGGCGGCAGTCCCTGCAGCACGCGGCCATGTTATAGATGTCCACGCCATAAGTGTCGAAGCATGAGAAGCATCCCATAATGCAGGACATCTTCACCTGATTGGGATTGCACTCTAAGCCGTTGGCGGCCCTTGCAAGGACCCCGTGAAACGCCATCAGAGTGATCAGGAATAGCAAGAGTAGTCCTCGTAGCTGGTAGAGAAAAGAAGAGAAACGAAAATTAGTTAGAAAAAGTTTGCACTTTGTCAGATGTCGAATCCTTATGACCTTTTCTTAAGAATGCAATAACTTTTATTTGATTTGGAAATATCCATTTAACAATTACTTTAGGCAATATATTTCAAATTCAAAGCTTTAAAGCATTTCATGTTGAGATAATGGGCTATCGCTTATTAAAATATTGAGATCAGTATATACCAACAACATTATGTTATATTTCTAACTATCGAGAGATCTATATCTTTATAAGGTTGTGTTAATGACAATTTGCAATGACTGAAATTTATTTGTTACATCACTCAGGCGACCTTACTTCCGGTCGTACATTACTCGTGTTCACTTTGTACAATTTCACGTAAAATCACCAATGTACCAAAAGGGGTATAAGTTATCTTTGCCGGGTGATCTGAAAAGTTTCAGACCCAAAAAGTTTGTTTTTTTCATTAAATAATATTTTTTTCTGTCTATAATCTTTTCTTCCTATGCAGTATGTCTCTCCGCCCCCTCCCCCTCCTAACCGTATACAATATTAGACCTAATCTATATAGGGTCTCTCCTTAATTGAGTAGTACTTTCCGAGGAGAGAAACCTTACTCTACGGATAATTTATTCACTTTAGTCACAACAATTTGATGGGAAAAGCTAGAAACTATTGAGTAAATACAAGCCAAACGTCATTCACACACTTTTTTTCCAGCTCAAATACCAGGCTTCCATTTTTTTTCCCGCTCAAATACCAGGCTTCCATTTTTTTCCCGCTCAAATACCAGGCTTCCATTTTTTTCCCGCTCAAATACCAGGCTTCCATTTTTTTCCTTCATACATTTGTAATCCTCTCCTTTTTCGAATATCTTACAAAAAAACAAAACAAACTAAACTGAGCTCGTATGCTATATGGTATTAGATACATTCAGAAAAATCAAAACGTCACCGATGTATTTTTATTTTATTTCGAGCAAGTGATTCTTCAAGAAAGTTTTTTTTTAAACCAATAAATTAAATTAAAAACAAGGTTACAAAGACAGTTTGTGTAGAAACACAAAGGTTACAAAGACAGTTTGTGTGGAAACACAAACTCCAAGTGGTCCACCCAGGCAGGTAAAAATGAAGGTTCCAATAATTTCATTAAGAACATCAGAATGGAAATCTATCACAGACAAATGACAGAGAAGAATGAAGAAAGAAGGTTGACAGATCTTGTGTGTTGCCCCCGCGGCCCAGCAGACCAAAGGATAGGTGAAATTGATTGTGAAGTTAGATGTGAACCTGGCCTAACTGATGTCTTATAATGAATATCTAATTGATCTAATTGTTTTGTATAGGGTCCATCTCTTATTCAAATCCTTTAGTCAACTGTGCTATTTGAATATCTACATGATGCAATTCAAGCGATAATATGAAAACTACTTATTTATTGTTGTTTTAAATTATGTCCAACTAATATGCATACTAAATAGATTTTTTTCTCTTTAAAAAAAGAAAACTTTTTTTGGGGTGTAAATGTAGTAGATCTAGTTACTATGACAGAACTTATATACATAACTTAGCAATACAAATGAAATGTAATAAAAAATATTTTGGACAAAAATCTAAAACCATTTGCAAAAATATGCTAAAAATATGGTAATTTGTCATTCCCCCTTTTAAAGAGCCTCCCGTGTTTCTTACTATTAATAGTGAATAGTTGTTAAAGTGGTGTATTGTTTTGAAAAAGCTGCTTGCATAAATGATTTAAAAATTTAGATTTTTCGCTATCAGAAAAGAAAAAAGTAGCCGTTGCATAGAACTTTGAATGGTCTAAAATATTATGGTGTTAGATTTTCACTAACTTTTCTAGTTTACGAGATCTAAACGGGACAGACGGACAGACAGACATTCCACACAAAACTAATTGCGTCTTTTCCCCTTTCGGAGGTTGCTAAAAATGCTGAAGAAAAAACTAATTCCATTT